CAAACATTATATTAATTTTTATTTATTTTGATTAACCTTGCATTTAGAAATAGTAGTAAATGTAATTAATTTTTTTTGAAAAATATAAAATAAAACATCTTAGAAATTAAAAGATTTTGTACCCAATCATGCCTGTCATCTCCAGGGGTAGCTTTTTGCAATTCATTGGAATTAATGGATAATTTAATAATTTTATTTAATTTACAATTCATAATTAAATAATAAAATAAGATAAAAATTCTTGTAAGGAACAAAAGGGGATGTAGCTCAGATGGTAGAGCGCTCGCTTAGCATGCGAGAGGTACGGGGATCGATACCCCGCATCTCCATTTTATTCATATTTATATTTTTTTTAATAAATTTTGTTTTATTTTTTCCCTTAATTTTGATTTTACTCTAATGAAAAAACAAATATTAAATTCAACAGTATAAAAATAATCAAATAAATCGACCAAACCAATAATTTATCGGTAGAACCAGTTTTGTAGAAGTTACCGTGTATAACTATTATATACTGAAAAAAAAATATCTATACTATATTATAAAGTATTTGACAAAAACTTTTAAAAACCAATTTTTATGTATAAAATACTGTTTATTAATGCATATTACTTAAAATTCAAGATTACAAATAAATTGTGCATAAATACAACTTATTAAAGTTCTATGTTTGAATTTGTGTAACTAAATGTAGATAAACATAATCAAATAGAGAATAAACATTTAATTTTAAAATATAAAAAATCTAAAATATAATTAGAATAATTATTGAGTTTTAACATAATACTTAATTATTATTTTTATCAAAAATATATTATTAAACCTAAATTAAGTTACTTCGTTACGTTAAATTAAATTATAATAAAAATTTTGAATTTATAAAAATACACAAACAAGAACTTTTAAATAGTTCATTTGATAATAATATTGATATTTTTTCACAAATTTTATATGATATTTTCAAATTTATATTTATTAAAAAATAAAAACATTTCAAAACCACATAAAATCGTATTATATCGACATGGATAAAAAATAAAACGAAACATTGAAATGAAAATGTGTCTCAATACATTGCACGGTACCCTTCTAGTACTGAAAAATATATTTTCAATTGTTGTCAACAAAATTAAAAGTGAGGTTCTGTTGTTTGCTTCAAATGGTCTTGAAAATTCGAATTCCTTTAAGATCATTACAGCTTTGTATGTTTGTTAACTTCAAAGCCTATAAGATTTGCCTAAGGTACACACAACTAGTCAGAACATTCAAGTTATAAAAACCGAACACATAAATTAAAAAGTCGACAAGTTGAACAAATAAATCAAACTTCATTATAGAACATTAGAAGCTAACTCGCGCAATGCAGCGAGATACATCGTGATTTTAATATTTTATTTTACTTTTTATCTCAGCTGATGTTATAATATGACTTTATATGATTTTGAGAAAGCGATGATGTTTTTATTTTTGAATAAAATATATGTTTGAAGATATCATAAAAATTT